GATTGCATGTAATATTCTAATTTTCTAAGTTTGTGGATTTGGGATTTTCATGAACTGTAAGCCATAATCACCACAATTATGACAAATCATGGCTTGAACTATCTTGCTTTGCATGCAATGAGTCTATCTCATATATTAGTTTCACCTTTTAGGTTGCATTAATAAATGAACTTTTGCACGATATTCTAATTTTTCGAGTTTCACCTGTATACTTACCAGAAGCATTTTAGCATTTTGTTTAGTTATTAAACTACTCAATTTCTGGGGTATAAACTTCAAAATTGGAAGCATATTAATTTACAAAATGCATTTTCTACTAAACTATTTGATAATGTATGTTATAGTTTTGGATACATGGCTTTGTTAAACATTATCTGATTTTTAGAAACTGCTACTTTGAATGATTTTGAGATGGTTGCCAATGATGCCACGGCGGAACTTGAAACCAGAGTAAAACATATAGAGAGAGGTAAGTACGCTTTTTTAGTTAAGTGAAATAAAAGATTCAGAGTTAATTTTCAATATATGAGGGTGACATTTATAATATTGTTCTTTTACAAAAATATTTCAGGCGAACAAGAAAATTGGGGTCCATTACTGCTTAAAAATAAAGATTATATTATCTTAATAGTATTCCTTCTGTGTAATTATATGGCTTTTATAATTTCTTAACATGGAAGTATTTTAGATAGACTTATTGATTGATTATTTTTGCTGTTTTAATCTAGCCTACATAAGGTGGGAGTGTAAATCATTCAGAATCACTTGATTATTGGAATCATATAAACCTGGTAAAATAAATTGTGATGACAATCCTACATAAAGTTTATATAGGGAATATTTGAAGTACATGAAACCTACTGATAGCTGTTTGCTAGCAGAGTATGCATTGTTACCCAAGTTTACCTCTCTTACTGCTCCAGGGGGATGCTTTGGATAGTTATCTCATGTCACGTTCAATATTGCTTATGCTCTTGAAAACCTGTGGTTGACTATACCTCCTAATATGTGTACATTTTGGTTATATGCTATGAACTGAATGCTTCGAAGATTATCATAGAGTATTAGAATAATGTACTCTTTCAGGCCAAAACCTAATGTAATGTTTTCCTGGCATACCAGAAGGGCAATACAAAAGGTGAATGGCTAGGACCAAAATTAAACTTAAATGAAATTAAATACAGTTAATATGATTGTTTCCTATTTATTTAAGAATTATTCTCTCCCATTAAATTAAAAGTCACAGTTTGGCAAGAACTTTTCAATGACCTTGGAGAGGGAGGGAGAGAGAGAGAGAGAGAGAGAGAGAGAGAGAGAGAGAGAGAGATTTGTGTGTGTGTGTGTGTGTGTGTGTGTAGGATACTTATATCTAAATTATTTCCATGTAATTATTTTCATTCAGCTCTAGATCTCTTGTTCTACAATTGGTTGCCTTGGGTCATTGAACTAATTTATTTTTGACTTAGCTGCATTGTATTTAAATATAGCAAAATTAAAATTTTCTTTGAAATGTTGCAGCTCTGTTGAGTTTGGATGGTCTATTTCCCATTTGCAAGAACTATCATTTCACATTGTCTTCTGAAGTTAAGTTGTCCTAGCAGATCTTTCAGGATTTGCACCCCCTGTCCACCCTTTAATAATCCCTCAGAATATTTTTTGCAGATGACCAGATAAACTCATACAATATGAAGTAAGGATAGGCAAGCTATTTTACTTATGTTATGTCCCTTGGAGTGGGGAAAGTGAAATAATAATTTTCTTTCCAAGCCTTGGAGCTGCTTAGGATGGGACACTTGTTCTTAGTATTGCACAAACTTGGCAGGCATGAACACAATTGCATATTGGCATCACCTGCTATTGAGAGATTGGAGAATGGAAATTACAGCTGCGTGGAAGTTCCAATAATTTTATCTTGAAAGGAAAAATAGAATTATTTGGGACTGGATGTGTTTAATTAGAATAAATAGCTTTATTTATATTCTATTGCCAGATTTTAAAAGTATTTTTCTTTAATTTTAGAACTAGAAAATTACAAATCCCAAGAAGATAATCTTCAAAGGTAATATTTAACACCAAAATACCCCATATTTGCAACCTATAAAATATGTCGGCTTTCAGTACCACTATTTTATTCACATGTTGCATTTTTGCAGAGAACAATCACATCTTAGTGATAAAAAACAACAGAGAATATCTGAAATCAACCAGCTTCAAAGAGACGTAAGAAGTTGCCAAGAACTTACAGAGAAATATAAGTAAGTAAATTAAAGAGGATTTTTCTTGTAATGCCATTCATCTTCTAGAATTGTCCCAATATAAGTTGTCCCTTTGGGAACTTAACTGTGATCACAGGATGGTCTCAATTGACAGAGAATTGTCTAAAGTTTAATTTGATTATTTCATGACTACTGTTCATTCTCATTGAGGGATAACAACATAATTACTCTAAAAATCTATTTGATGTTGATAAAATAGTCTAGGAAAATAAAACTCATTAGTTTTCCAATAATAGCTAAAAGACCAAGTTCTCTGTTTCCATATTTATGTGTATACAGGCAACTACCGTGTTTCCCCGAAAATACGACAGGGTCTTATTTTCTTTTTACTTACAAAATATGGCCTTGGGCTTATTATAGGGGAGGACTTATTGTTTTGGGGTTGCCGGGCGGCTAATGCCTTGCGAACTGGCTTCCGAAGAGCCAGGCACAGCCTCAGGGGCAAAGAGCCATGAGGGACCAAGCTCACGATCAACCGCCCGGCAAATCCCCTCTCCAGCCGCGCCATTCACTGACCTAGAGGGTATCCCTAAGGCGCCAAACCACATGATGCTCTGCCCACTCCCCAGCTCCCGCAGCTTGGCACATTAGGGATACCCCTTAGGTCAGTGCATGGAGCTCTGCCGGGCTGGAGAAGGGGGTTGCACAAGCTCCTGTTCTGCCCCCAGTAGGCATGCCTCCTAGCCTCAATATGTCCGGGTCCAACTCTCCCTGTAGCAGCTGTCGCCGTGCTCCGAGCATAACGTCTTCTCCAGTTCCAAACTTCCAAACTCGGATGCCGAATTTTCCAGCAGCGGCCGCTCTAGGAGTGCGCTCTATGTGGGGTGGGCTGCTGGAAGACTCTCTGTCTGGAAGATTCTCTTATAGAGTCTTCCAGCAGCCAGCTCACAACCATAGAGCACATTCCTAGAGTAGCCATTGCTGGAAGACTCGGCAGCCAAGTTTGGGAGTTTGGAACCGGAGAAGACATTATGCTCGGAGCGCAGTGGCGGTGGTGGCTGCTGCAGAGAAAGCTGGGCAACTCCCCCCTCCAGCCAGGCAGAACGCCACTCCCCAACCTAGCGGTATCCCAAAGGCAGCAAGCAATGTGAGCGTCTTTCCCCCCCCCCCGCCCCCCTGGCTCCTGCAGCTTTGTGTCTTCAGGATACCGCTATGTCAGTGAATGGTGCTCTACCTGGCCGGAGGCGGGGGGGGTTGTCCATGGGGTTTATTTTCAGGGGGGGATTATATTTTTGCCCACATGAAAAATGTGGCAAGGCTTTAGTTTCAGGACAGGTTGTATTTTCAGGGAAACACGGTATATGCCCCAACACTGGAAGTCTTTAAGAAGATGTTGGATAGCCGTTTGTCTGAAACGGTATAGGGTTTCCTGCCTAGGCAGGGGGTTGGACTAGAAGACCTCCAAGGTCACTTCTAACTCTGCTATTGTATTGTATTGTAAGTCTCTGCATGGTTTTGAAGTTAACTGACAGTTTATTTTATGTTATTTTTATTTTATTTGTACCCCACTTTTATTATTTTCTACAAATAACAAAAGGCAGCAAACATATTCAACACACTTTCCTCTTCCTCTTTTCCCCACAACAACAATCCTGCAAGGTGGTTTGAGCTGAGAGGCCCAAGGTCACTTAGGTAGCTTTCATAACAAAGGTGGGCCTTCAACTCATCGTCCCTCACTTTCTAACCTGGGTCTTAACCACTAGACCAATCTAATTGATTTAATCTTACAGTTAAAGAGACACTGATGTTCCTAATCTGTGAAAGTCCGAGTTTCTTTTGGAGGTTCTGCACCAGACTTTGACTAAAGAATTCTGCTTCCTTCCTGGAATGAAGGTTCCTCTTCCATTTGGAACCTATATTTTTTACTTTTTTTCTCCCAAAGAAAAAAAAAAGTATTTTAAAGAAAGACATACAGAACTGATTAATATTAGTAGCACTAACAGCCTAGTGTAGAAACACTTCTCTTTCCAAAAGTGGAAAGAGCATTAATAGCAAACATTAATGTTTGTGCGTATCTTGTCTTTCTAATATTTTCTCTTTAATTAATCTGTGATTGTGTAATGTTTTCTTCTTGCAGTTTCTCTGAGTGGGTAATAAAGGAATGGAATGATCAACAGGCAGTATTTACTTTCCTTTATGATTCTATTGAGCTCACTGTGGGATTTAAAAGGCCCTTAGGTAAGCTGCAAAATAGCAGGAACTCTTACCTGCCTTCTATGGCACTTCTATAAAAACTGTTTAAAATTATTTGAATTTAACTATTCATTGTGGCTATAGTGTACCACTATTTTGTGAAATTGTGTTTTGTATTGTAATGGAACTTTTTGCACTAGAAGGATAGATTGTAAATACTGAATGATCAGAGGGTATCTAAACTGGACAGCTTTAGGGTAGATGCTGACATAACAAGTTACTTCTCCATATAAATATTCCTCAATATTGGAAATATGTATAGGAAGTTATCCAGCTTATTCAGAAGTAAACAAATCTGATTCACACATCACCCTAAGTCATACTATTTGTAATACAAACTATACATTACTAGAAATGGAGTAACCCATTTTGAAGATGTGCTTCACACGGTGTGTGTTTTTTTGTAGATGATGCTACTTTCCAAAACAAGTTCTACTGGGAGATTGTTAGTCTGAATTTTGAAACATTATTGGATGGTAAGATTGCAATATTTTATTATCTTAAGGAATACCCAGAGCTTCATGAGAAACGTATTGGTGAAATGGAAGAAACAAGGCAAAACAAGCTGATATCAGGCTCCTTTGCTTTCTAAATTTTAATTTCTTCTGCAATATATTCTTTGCATTAGAAAAATAACAGTCAAAGCTGTGGGGAAATGGAAGATTTTACAAGTAACTGCATAGGTCCTTGGCAAAATTATACAAAGGAGACATGCGCATAGAGTATTAATGATTAAAACATGATTTGTTGTTTTATTCAGTTGTTACAGTATATGCCACCAGGAGTCACTTTGTGTGAAATGGGCAGCTATATACTGTAAATGTGATTAATAAATAAATAAAATAACATGAAGAGATTTAAATAGAAATATAATTTTTGATTTTTTTTTTACTTTTACTTGGTGTTTTTTCCAGAAACAAAAGCTGAGCCTACGGCAAAACTAGTGCATAAACTTATCTTTCAGTTTATTGACAGTCAAAATTCATGGCAAAAGAAATGCTCAACAGTGTATCAACTTTCTCAGGTAAGGAACTAATTATAAGGAAGTCTAGAATTTGTACACTAATGTAGAATAAAGTAGGCATGACAGTAAAGCTCTTAAAACTGTCCTCAAATTCATTATTTTACTGGTTCATGATGCTTATGAGATGAACAAATAAATTTATAGTGAAGCTTATACATTCTTGGAGGGGGGGGGAATCTGGATAATACTCTAATGGGTAACTATGGGTTAGACACTAGAGTATTATTTTTGTCTTAGTAGCAGTAACACTTAACTGACTGATTGCCTTTATTTAAGTAATGCATTTTTTCTTATTGTCTGCTTTATTGTTCTACATGCTGCCTTTAGTGTGCATTTAGTATAGAACAGAGGTCCCCAACCTTTCTGGCTCTGTGAACCTGCAGCGGTGGTGGTTGTGAGGATGGTTTCATGCACATGCCTGCCGCTTACACAAATGGAATCTGCCGCTCACTTTCCAACAGGCCGCTGACTGCCATTGGGCTACGGACTGGGGGTTTGCAACCCCCAGTATAGAAAAGCCACACCTTTCTCTGCGATATATTAAGCCATATATTACTTACAATGGATTGGTTCGAGCCACTTGTTTTGCCAAGAGACAACTGCTGTCAGGAGAATTGAAAAAGGATAAGTTAGGAGGGAGGGAGGGAGGGTTAGCCAATTATAGGCCTGTTAGTTGAGAAGCGAAATGTCTTCAAAGAAAAAACAAAGTCCAGCTGCCTCTTGAAAAAGCACCTTTGGGACAACCATGACCTGGATGACTAAGACTCTCCATAGTCATATTTTCTAGAAAATCTATGTGTGTATTAGGATGTCAAGATTACTTTTATTTTAATTGTTCAACCAGATACTGCATGATCTGTCTCTCGTGGTGAACCGTTGTAAACTTCTGGAAGAAGAGATAGAATTTCTGAACAAATGGGGTGGAAAATTTTACTTGCTGAAAACTGAAGTGAAAGACACAAAGTAAGTGCTTGTCTAATCTACATCTGTTTATAAGCAGACAAATAATTGGGAAAAAAACCTCTGCCCAGTTTGTAAATACATGTTATAATTCAGCCAAATTTACTCCATAGTTTTATGCTTAACTGACAACACTGGTGCATTTTAGAACAAGAGGCAGATTGGAAGTGATTAAAGACCCAGGCTGGAAACAAAGAGGCAATGAGTTCTAGTTCCTGCCTTAGGCACAAAGTGACCCGGGTAAAAATCAGTCACTATCCCTCAGCTTAGTACAAAGTCAATGACAAATCATTTTTGAAATTGCAGCCTAGAAAACTGGATGGATTTGTCCAGGCAATTGTCAGGAGTCATAATCCATTTTGTTGAAGGTAGAAAAAAAAAGTTAAACATTTTTTGGTAAATAGAATTTCAAGGGGCATAATAAGGAACAAAAATGCACATTTATCCAATGTAATATAAACTTTAAAAAATTCATAAAAACGCAGTAAAATAAAAGAACAGAGAAATATTCAAATAGTGGATTCCAGAACCAGATTAAAATAAATAGTAAACAAAATAAAAGCTAAAAAGAGTTATGAACATAAAATTGGACAGGCAACTTAAAAACAAGCACATCCAACAAGCAGATCTGGCAGAGAGTTGAAAGAATACTTACACAATTTATGTATGTGGGCTTACCATGAGAAAAACATCTAATAAGGGTTTTTGTTAACAGTTTAGATTTAAGATTTAAGATTTAATAAATTTGTATGCCGCCCAATCCTGAAGGACTCCGGGCGGCTTACATAAAAACAATTTAAAAATATTAAAAGAATTCAAAATGCAAAGACAAAGCAGTTAAAAGGAACACAACATACACTCAATCTCGGTGGGGCTGGAGCACAATCAAGGATTAACAGCCCCAGGCCTGCCGGAACAGCCAGGTCTTAGTAGATTTCCGGAAGGCCGAGAGAGTGGGGAGTTTTAGTTATTTATGATGATGATAATTTGTATACCACCTCTCATTGAATTTTTATAGATGGATGTAATGAGATGCAACAATAAAAACACAATTAAAACAATAACATATCAGAATATCTACAAGGTATATTTATTAAGGAACTTTATTAAGTTTCTGATCATTTATGGCTTTATAATTTCATATTATTTAAAATGTCTCCAGAAATAAAGTGGAAGCAAACAAAGATTCCTAAGTATTAGCAATTAAGGTTGTTTTTTTTTATAAAAAAAACCATTAATAGACCATTGGCCATATCTGAAATTTCCAAACATGTTTCAAGAGTAGCCTATTTATAACACATTATTATATATCAATGAATCCAGGATGTTATTAAATCATGGTAAGTAGACATGTCATTCATGTCATTCTCCTAGAAGGCATAGCTGATACACCATCTGAAACTTGGCCATTTGAATATTCAGTAAAAAACAAGGTAAAGTAATCTGTGAGAGAGAACAAGCTGAATATGTTTATGATTGTCTACATCAGACCTGGACATTTTAAAGCCCATATCCAGCATGTCCCTGTCCGGCCCATAGCGGAGATGGCAGCAGAGTGGGCAGTAGTGGCTTTCCACAACAGTCCCAGTTTCTCATGTGGCCTCTTGGGGAAATTAATTGGCCACCTCTGATTTACATGATGAAGTTACTGCAAATAGGCCGAATTCACCTTTATTTATCATTTACCAAATTATTAATTTAGATCCAGTTCAGATTATCTCTCTATATCATTTAGTTTATCATTTAGTATATCATTTAGTTTAGGTCAAAGATAAAGTTATCCATCCATGTTCATTATTTTTCATTCTAAATCTGATTTCTTCTCCAGTGCACTGCGAGGAGAGTCCAATAGTGGGTTAACACAGCCTATCTGCCCTTGGACTGAGTGATGTTTTTCTGTTGACCACGCCTCCCTTTGCCTCTGCTTTCTCCCAATTATTTCATATGAATGGCATTTTGCTTGGTTAGTAAAATACATAATTATTAACTTTATGTATTTTTTTTCATATGTAGTGTCAGCCTTTTGTTCTCCAGTTCTACACCTCTTGCAAAGTTTGAAGTTGAACTCTCTTTATCTGCCAATTATCCAACATCTCCAATAGATTTCACTATCCCAAAATGCATAGGAAATCTTGGGTGAGTAAAACCAAGATGAATGTCTCTGGGTAATGATATATACATGATATATTCATTTCTGTGAAAAAGTTTATCAGAAACATTGTCTTAATTAGTTTATATATATTTTTTTTCTGTTCTCAGCCATGAGGAAATTTCTGTGATTTTGTCCAACGTTCCAGTGGGAGCCAACTATTTGAAGAGAATGGTCAATCAGATTAGTTGTAATCTACTCCAATATACTTCAACAATTCCGAAAAATAAAACAGCAAGTGTCCAATAGTTTGCTGTTCTTTGGGGGGGAAATTATTTCAACTATCAAGCATGCAGTACTAGAGTGATTACATCTTTGTTTAAACTATAGAAAAGTTAGTTAGTCTTTCTTCTACAAACTATAGTGAAAAACTGTAATGTGGTTCCTCTGTTGTTGTTTTTCTAGTATTTTATCTTGTATTTGTATTTTTCCAGTAGTGCTTTGCGCTGCCTTTTATTTCTGAGAGACTATTTTATAACAGAATATATTGCATTTGATGTAATTTCAAAACATATACTGCAGGAAAGGAATGCTAAGATGAGTAAGAGGAGCTTTTGAGTCCTATCTATGACACTTAAGTAATTGAATATTGGATATAGAATACTGGATCAATCAATTAATTTTTTAGAAATCATAGGATGTATTAAATTTTTATTCCATTATATTGACGGAGGAAAGTCTTCAGTTTCAGTGAAGACAACAGACATTATTATTAACATGCATCTTTGTGAAGGCTCATCTTGTAGATGTAATATTAACATTCTTACAACAAAATTTCTAGGATATTTCTCCCTTGTATAATATTTTGTTTATATGTAAAATATTGCATATTTAAATGCTTTGTGATATTGGAGTGTTTTTTAATGTTCGTATTTTGTCAAAAAGTGTAATAAAGTTTACAACAGTACTTGTACCATCTTGGTAGTGATTTAGAAATGAAAAAAACACTGCCAAAACTTAATTGATTTACTTGTTGTGTTAATTTTTTAATTTTACAATATTTTTTATTTTAATAAAATAAAATATTTTACGTATTTTATTCTTATTATTTTTTAAAACTATTCCCTCTAAAATGTGTGAATCACATTTTGTTATATGTTTAGAACAGGGGTCTCCAAACTTGGCAACTTTAAGACTTGTGGACTTCAACTCCCAGAATTTCACAAGAACAGGTTTATTCAGCGAACTCCTGTGGGGGTCAGACAGGACATAAGAGTAAAATAGTGTCAATTTGATCTAGGATTTAAGGCAGGGGGCTAGAAACCAGGAGACTGAGTTCCAGTCCCACTTGAGATATGAAAACAGCTGGGTGACTTTGGGCCAGTCATTCTCAGGCCAGCCCACCTCACAGGGTGGTTGCTGTGCAGAAAAATAGTAGGAAGAAATGTTGTGTATGTTGTCTACCTTGAATTACATATAAAGTAATAAAGGCGAGATAAAAACCTTTTAAAAAGTGATCTAAGTGTTGAAAGAAATGTCCTTCTGGGTTCAGCTCCAAGTGGGGAAAAAGACACTGGAGACATGGAGGCTGCTTGGAAAGATGGTTTATTGCTGGACAGGACCACGTGGTTTGAGTTCTGAACAGAAAAGGTGATCACATGCTTTAATGTTGGTGGAGAAAAGAGAAGGGCTGAGTCCCTGTTTTTTCCCCACTCTGGCCTTTGATCTTGAGCTTGTATTCTGATTGGTTGTCAGACTCTCATGGGGCCATGCAGGGGCAACTCTAGGCTGTGTTTTGAATCCCAAGTTTGATTGAGTTTCCAGATGCCTTCTGAGTTTCTCTGGAAGGCTAATCCTTTATTATGTAAAGTACACTAGCTCAGGCCCCAATGACTCATTGACAAAGGTGGGTGGGGTGGGCAGAAAGCTGCAAGGAGCTACTTTGTCTTTAAAAACATGTTTCTCCCTTTCTGATCCAGGGAAATATGTTCTGCCTTTTCAGTATTTCCCAGGATATTTCATTTTTCTAGGAGAGGGCTGGGTGCTAACTTTGTACAATACATCGCGTATTACTCTGCTTAATTTTCCCATACATATTTTAAAAGTTTCAGGAAGTTGCACCCATGCAGATACAAGATGCAAACACGAATAACCCCAAAGAGAAAAGGCTCGGGTTGAAGTTGCCATTTTGAAAATTATGGCGCTCTAGATAACCGATCTAGACATCACGAATATAAGGAGAGAATCTCAATCAAAGTAAACGACAAAATTGTTAAAACACACACTCCGCCGGATCAAACACTTCCCTTCCCTTCGGCCAAGCCCGTTAGAAAATGCGCATGCGCATTTTAACTTGTCTTTGGTCTAGCACGCGTCTGTACGCCTGCGCGTCGATCATGTGACCCGTGGCGGGTTAATCTGAACCGGGAGGTGGAAGAAGCAAACTAGCCTAAGCGGGTCGGCCTCGGAGGGGCCCGAAGGATCCCGGCTGCGCCAGGCCTTCTAGCGGCCTAGCGGCGGCTCGATTCACGACTCCACCGAAAGACCCAGTTTCGTTCAGTTTCCATACGGAAGGCGCTGTTGAAAGCAAGAGGCCGTCGGGAATCGCCCCTCTCTGTCTCCCTTTGGGCCTCTCTCGCGCGCGGTGTTGGCGGAAGACAATTGGGAAGAGAAAGGCGTTGCGATTTGTAAACCGTGGTCTTAGTTCCGGTGAGGTGAATAAAACGAGGGCTATTAATAGTAATGATTTTTTAAAAAAATATTAATCTCACTTTTACTCCTGTTTAATGACAATTACTGCAGTATGCCAAGAAATGCATAACGTGTCCAGCGTTTGTATTTGTGGGTTGTCTTCGGTTACATTTCAGTGAAACGTATGAAAACAGGAGGATATTATTTACCGTATGACTATAAAATTAAAGGGCAATTTTAAAAAGCTATTTGTCCAAGCTGCATTTGTTTTCTGTCTCGATAGGAATTTCGGATACTTTGTGCCATGGCTATGCAAATGCAATGCGATGAGAGCATAAATATCTCAACGGAGGAGGAAAGCTTCGGTCCTCAGCCTATTTCTCGTTTAGAAGTATGTATTACTAACATGTATTACTGTAAAATTCTGTTGGGAGTCATATCTTCAGTCCCATCTTACATTCTTTATTGATAGTTTTCCAGTTTACTGTTTTAGTGCAAGTTTCAATGAAACCATTCTAACTTTTACATTCTTTTGATGAAATAAAGCTCCCTATCACCAGTGCTGATATTATAAAATATTTTACTTGACAACCGGTGATTTGTTTCTTTTTTTTATGCAATCTTTGAAAGAAGTTGAGAAAAGGAGGACAAATTGTTATCCAAATCATTATAATTTTCAAATCTTAGTGTTATTGAAATAACTTATTTTTAATAATGAATTTTTATTTTAATAATAGTTTTGTACCTTTGTAATGACTGTTTTTATATATTGCTTTTATTGATTATTGTAAACTGCCCAGAGTTGCTTCTGTGAAATGGGAGGCCATGTAAATGTGATAGATAAATCTTAAATGTGTTTTTGTTACTTATTGCTTATGCACAAAAAGGAAGACAATGTTAGGTATTGATTCATTATGTAAAATATATTTTCAAAAAACATTAAGAAAATATTTTTTACTAAAAACTTTACTTGCTGAAGAATTTAAAGCTGTGTTTTTGTTTATTTAAATTAATGGAAATGATAGAAATGTACAAAGCTGATTATAAATGTCAGCTGCTATCTTTGCAGACTGCAGGATCAGATCTCACATAGTTCAATAGAGCTCACTCTTACATTAGAATATTAGGTTTTGTAACCTATTACATTTGGATCATTATGTCTGACATGTATAGACATGTATTTCTACATTAAACATGTTATATAACAATATATTTGTTTCTATAGCAATGTGGAATAAATGCAAATGATGTGAAGAAATTGGAAGAAGCTGGTTTTCACACCGTTGAAGCTGTTGCCTATGCACCAAAGAAGGAATTGCTCAATATTAAAGGCATCAGTGAAGCTAAAGCAGATAAAATTCTGGTAATCATGCTTAGCTTAAAAATGTTCAGAAAATATGTACATCTGCAATACTGAGTATTATTTGTATTATCTTATTGACTGATTGATTTGACTTATATGGGTCTCTACTTCATATAATGATTCTTGGTGGCGTATAACAATTCATAAAATAGAAATGACCTTCTCCACATGAAATAAGACTGAACATCCTCTCAACTCAATTCCATCCTAGCCTAATGCAGTTTTCCACAGCGCTCTAAAAGACTAAAAGGATAGGGATCCCTCAAATCTCAGGTGGGAGGCTATTCCAAAGGGCCATCAAGAAAGAGCATCTCCAAGACCACATTAGGTAATATTTACGAGAGAGAACCTGGAGCGTGCCCACTCTATCATATACATTTTGCAAGTGGTTGCTTGTAATTTTTAAATGATTATAGGAAAAACGTGAGAGTTTTAACCCAAGAATACAAATGAAATAACCGAGTTGTAAAATAAAAACAAACTCTTGATTTCACTGTCATTTGCAGGCTGAAGCAGCAAAGTTGGTTCCAATGGGATTCACCACAGCTACAGAGTTTCACCAAAGACGCTCAGAGATTATTCAAATTACCACTGGATCCAAAGAACTTGATAAGCTTCTTCAAGGTACAATGTTTGATTTATAAATTGGTCCTGAAGTCATTATCACATGTTATAAATCAAAAGTAGATAACATAAATATACAGGATGGTTTTGGATTGCTTCTAGCATTAATATAGGAAAGAGCATATTTTGAGATCCCATAAACCTTGAATTTCATACTTAATACAGTGAAGTTTGCTTCTGAAAAAATAGTAGGAGACCATTGCTAAAAAAATGTACAGATTATTTCCCAAGCTAAAGTCCTCATACTTTAATTTCTCCTAAAAGAGTTTCTACAAAAATAATCTCTTTCAACAAAGTAATAACAGCATCCTGATAAGGTCATGAAAAACGTCTAGTTGAATAATATTAAATAGTTTTCATAAATCAAAAAAAT